GGGAGGTGCCTTTCCTGTACTCTCCATTCTCTGTCCTCTCTCCACCAAAACAGCTCCCTACTCTCCGTGGTTTCTCTCACCTCCAGTTCACCTCTCCACGCCGTGTACCTGCTGAATTCTGTGGCTCGCTATGCAGATTGTGTTAACCCTCAGATCAATTTTCTAGGTGTGCAAAAATGGTTTGGGCTTGATCTAGCTGTATTTCAGGGACTAGAGAAACAGAGAACTTCCATGCTACTCTGCCATCTTGGCCAACTCATCTGGATTATGAAATTTCTGGCCTTGAAACATACAAAGCCAAATGTAATGGTTTGTAGTTTTGATGATTAAGGGTAATTATAAATACATGTACTTGTTCTGTGTTCTGTAGCACCGATGTGTCCTAAATGGCTACTCTTTGAATTCAGCTTAGTTTTTTTTTTTTTTATTTGTTTTAATGTTTTTTTTTTTTTATTTTTTTGAGACAGAGAGAGAGACAGAGCATGAGCAGGGGAGGGGCAGAGAGGGAGACACAGAATCCGAAGCAGGCTCCAGGCTCTGAGCTGTCAGCAGAGCCTGAAGCGGGGCTCGAACCCATGGACTCTGAGATCATGACCTGAGCTAAAGTTGGATGCCCAACCGACTGAGCCACCCAAGCGCCCTGAATTCAGCTTAGTTTTTACAGTCCAAGTCTGTCAACATCAGCTTGACAAGTAGATTTTATCCGTGTGCTTCTCTCCCCATGCTCTGCATCTTATCTATTATATCTAGTCTGGCAGGAAGCCAAATTATCAATGCTGGCTAGTTACTTGATAGTAAGATTAAATAGGCTTTATTTAAGCACCTTTGATTCAATGAGCACACACTTTAATGCCTAAACTTCCTGACATCTATTTTGGTTGCTTGGAACTTGACCTCCTATGCTTGATATTTCAGCTATGTGAGACACTACTGTGGATATACTCTTTAGGGGAGCCTGGCTGGCTCAGCCTGTAGAGCATGAGAATCTTGATCTCAAGGACGTTGACTAAAGCTCCTCATTGGGCACTGGGCTTAATTTTTTCTACTTTTTAAACTTTGAGAGGTAGTGGTTGCTGTTGTGTATTTCTGCCTTTTCAGCACAATAGAATTGCATTTGGTTGCTGGGTGGCTATGTGACCAGTTCTGTGCAGTGAATTTGATAGAAGTGTTATGTAGGATTTCTTAGTCAAGAACTTAATTATCAAAGCCCTTTTGGCCTTTTGTCACCACTAGCATTGTTCTAGAGAGAAGATGCTCTATCAGTTTGGGTCCCTGTGATGCATATGAAGTTCAAGGAATAAATCTAAATTATTTTCAGGGTTGTTTCTGCAGCATTATTTTAGCCTATCTTGACTTACTTCAAAAAAAGTGCAAAAAAAGTAAAACATTCAATCTAAATGAAGAACTTTACAAAAATCACATGGCTTTCACAGAGAACACTTTGTTAAGGAAAATGAGTTCTATAGGCAGTTCAAGAACTCATAAAACCTTTTGTAGTCAGGCATACGTAGCCATAGCTGTGTGGTGTTGTACAGTCATGTTTGAGTCTCTGCATTCTATTTATCAGTTACCTAACTGGAGGCTTATATCCCTTATGTATAATATTGGGAAAACAGGATTTTAAAATAATTGAATTATGAAAATTACCTGACAGTAAGATCTTTAATAAATGGTAGCTATTATAACAGCTATATTAATCGGTTAGTCTGGCAATATAGATCTAATTGTAGAGTTACTGTTAATCCTTCCATTCATAACTTAATGCACATAACTGGCTTAATTCATTGAAGGCAAACATTTATTTTCCTTTTCTTTCCAAGATTCTGTTTAGGCTAGTTACACCAAACATAATGCAGAAACATTGTGTCGGACATTTTTAAACCAGTCTTTAATTTCCAATTCAGGTATTATAACACACACATACACACACACACACACACACACACACACACACTCTCTCTCTCTCTCTCAAGAAAGTCAGGGAATATACAGTATAAACATGTATAGCATATCCTACCTTCATGCATTCTTTTTAAAACATACTTTTAAAATGAAGTTCTTTTAAAAGAATTAGAAAACGTAGAATTACTTATTCTGCTACTTCCCTTTGAAATTCCATTGTCTTAAATTCTAATAGAAAGTGTTCTTAACTATGGAAAGGGCTGGGATATTCACTGGAGACCAAAATCTGGTGATACCATCTTTTATGTTCTCTGCTGTACTCTCAAATGCCTAGAAACAGTAGGTATTTGTCAGATAAATAGAATGACATTTAAAAACAAATCCCAGAGATAAAGGTTCTGAAGCCTAGTTGGGGGACCACAATATCATTTTGAAGTGCTCTGGCTAAAGAGGGGATGTGACCAAATGTAATCACACGCCTGGGCTGGATACTTCTAGGCATAGAGCTGTGTGAAGGTGTGGGAATAAGTGCACTGTTCTAGAAAAAGGGGGGCATTGGGAGCAATAACAAATGAAGGTTACAGTATACTGCAAAATGGCCAAGCTCATTTTCTAGGTTTTGTTTTCAACTAGAAGATTGCACGGTCTGCTATGATTCAGTAATCATATTACTCCTCAGCATTATGGTTCCTAGACAGGCCTAGTCAATGTTATGATTTACATCATCCTATTGAGGGAAATTGTTATCCAAAACCAAGTAACCCAATTCTTGAACACCATCTGAAAACTTTTTATATTCAAGACCTCATTATTTCTATTTTATTTCTTATTAGATATAAGGAATCTTCCAGAATGTATTGTGGGTATTCCTATGATTAGTCATATTTACAAGACACAAAGTATTTGGGTAAAAAGCAAATTTCATCATTTGTATACTTACAGATGAGGTTTATAAATTGATTTTAAGCACCATATATATACAATCCAATACTACAAACCAACAATGTTTCAAACTCAATATGTTTCATTAACCATGATGCCACCTCGTCTCAATAAACAAACGCTGTTTTATGGGCTATGTGAGAAAGCAATCATCATTTAGTTATCAATTACACAAAATTATTTTGAAGGGTAGACTGTATTTAAAAAAGAACAAAACAACCAAAAAAGCCAGGCTAAATAACTAGCCCCAATTACAAAAGATCAAAGATATAAAGAACTAAGGGTCCCCAGAGACGCCCTCATTCCTTTTGCCTTGGCTCTAAGTTTCAAGAATGGTGCTAAACTGGCATGAAGAGATGGAAGCAAAATCTTTAAAACACAATGTGGAGTACCTTTTTGAATCTTACTCAGTTGTAACTATTTAAAAAAAAGTTCAGATAAGGACATCTGTCCTTTTTTAGATTAACATGAGCTATACAAAAGAAGCATTTTAGATTATTGAAAGAAATTTAACATTTATTAATCCCTCATGTGCCAGATACTCATGTTCAAATATCAAAACCTACAAAGGGATCTATTATTTGTAAATGATAAACCGGCTCAGAAGTTGCTCAAAACCAGTTATTAATTGTTGGAACTGAGCTTCAAATTAAGGCCTTCCTCTAGTTTAATTCAGGATAGCACACTGGTTGGCAGTGTACTAAGCCTGTAAAAAAGAAAGTCTATAATGGAAAGTATTTTTTAATATTAAGCAGTTCTCACGACCTTAACAAATTGTATCTATAAAGAGCTTACTAAATGTCAACTTCATTTAATCCTTCATTTGTTAAAGGAAAAAAAAAGAGGACATACTTCAAATGGCACTAAGGGAAGCATACTTCATTTATATCATTTTCTACAAAATAAGTTAACTTTAAGCCAAACAATTTCAATGATGATAAATGCATTTCATTATTTATTTAGATGTTTAAGCTCTCGCACTAGATTTTTACAAGCTGGTGAACACTGACAAATTATTTCTCCCACAGAACTATAACCACACATTCCCAGACAGTATAAATATATGGTTGAACTAACATTAATACACATCACCATTTTATCAATTACATAATAAAACAAATTATCAAGTATCCAAATATTAAGTTACACAGCTCAAAAGGCATATAAAATATTAGATGTCTGCTCAATTCATTAGCAGAAACCCACTTTTTTTTTTTTTTTT